GGCCAGCGCGCCTCCGCGCAGGCCCTCTCCGCCGCCTTCGAGGAGCTCTTCCCGGGGCAGGTCGACGCCCTCATGGTCGACTTCTGGACCGAGATTGTCGGCCGCCCGTTCGTCCGCTTCCCCGAGGGCTACTCGTTCCTCGCGAAGAACCCCCCGCTGTGGAGGGCCGCGTGGAACTATGGCCGCTTCCCTGTCACCAGGCGGCTCACGGAGGAGTTCGCCAACGTCGTCGGCAACCGCAACTTCCGCAACGCCCTGCACCAGTTCCACCCGCACCTCATCGTCTCCGTCCACCCGCTCACACAGTTTATCCCCCTGCGCGTCCTGAGAACCCTGGACCATCCCCCGCCGTTCGTCACCGTCTGCACGGACTTGGGCGGCGCGCACCCCACCTGGTTTCATCGCGACGTCGACTTGTGCTTCGTCCCGTCGGACAAGGTGCGCAACATCGCCATGCGCTGCGGGCTCAAAGAGCCGCAGCTGCGCCAGTTCGGCCTCCCCGTACGCCCGGCGTTCTGGCAGGACAACACCGACAAGCCCGCCGTTAAACAGCAGCTGGGCTTATCCACGCACTCGCCCACCATCCTTATCGTGGGCGGCGGCGACGGTGTTGGCGGTGTGGGCCGCATCGCCCGCAGGGTTACCAGCCGAGTGTACGAAGACCTTGGTCCCAATGGCGCGCAGGTAGTTGTCGTCTGCGGGAAGAATAAGAGGCTGCACGACGAACTGCGAAAGTCCGACTGGCCTGTCCCGGTCGTTGTCAAGGGCTTTGTCAACAACATGTCGGAGTGGATGGCCGCGAGCGATCTCATCGTGAGTAAGGCGGGGCCGGGGACGATTGCAGAGGCACTCATTCGGGGGCTGCCCATCGTGTTGTCAGGCTTCCTGCCGGGGCAAGAGGCCCCGAATGTAAAATATGTCACGGAGGCCGGCGTGGGTGCGTTTAGTAAGGACCCCGAGGCGATCGCAGATATCGTCACGGAATGGGTTTCGGATCCAGCGGAACTCGCAGATAGGTCGAAGAGGGCAAAGGTCATGGGGCGGCCAAATGCTACGTACGACATTGTTCGCGAGATTGCCAAGTTGGTCGATTTGGAGGAGGTTGCGGCCCTCGGGGCGCCGATAGTCTAACATGACTGATCCTTTAGATGCGGGGTTGTATCGCGGCGCAAGCCTTGCACCGGGAAAGGGTTTTGTGGAGAGCCGCGGATTCGCTAAGCATCGTGCTAGCCTTTTTTAACCCACTGATATTTGTTGTCTTGTGACTGTCCTCTTGTTCAGAACCGCTGATTTTCTCGTGGAGTCGCATATGTAAAAACGTGTTGTTTCTCCGGTTAACATGGATGGTTTTAGAATGGCAAGGAGGCAAAGCCGCAAAATCTAGTAGTATCCAGCAGCAGTTTTATCAGGATCATCGCTCTTGCCTTCTGTTTCAGGAAAGCACTAGTAGATGCCTTCGTGAAAGAGGCTGGGGTTGCTGTTCACAGGTCACATGACCTGCTGTGTGCAACGCGATGTCATATTTTGAAAGAACATCTCAGGGCCTTTCTTTGAGTGTGCTCACGATTTTATCTGCTGTACCGAGACTCTTGTGGCTATCCTCTACGAAGGCGACAGGACCTATTAGAGCGGGCAGCTTTGATGGACGTTGAATTAGTGTGAACAAAAATAGTGTGCTCACCGAACTGATGATCTGCTGGAGTGCTAATTTTCCGATATTTTCGTGACGGAGGGCGGATCAAAAAACGATGCTTTATAGGCAGCGTATTTTGGCGGGTAGCGAGAAAACGGTCGACGGTTGCTATAGATCAACTCTGCAATCGCAATCCCTGCAATTGCTGTTGCCGTCACATTTACCTTTCTTACACCTGTTCAGAGCTTCCGATCGCTCCAAAACGTCTGTTGAACGGAAGCATTCAAGATGTCGGGCCTGGTTATCGATGGACAACGCGAGTCTGGACAGGATGTGCGCACCGGAAACGTGACGGCCTGTGTAGCGGTTTCAAACATCGTCAAGAGCTCGCTCGGTCCAGTCGGCCTGGACAAGATGCTCGTCGATGAAGTTGGCGATGTGACCGTCACAAACGACGGTGCCACCATTCTTCGCCTTTTGGAAGTGGAGCATCCTGCCGCGAAGGTGCTCACCGAACTTGCTGCACAGCAGGATGAGGAAGTTGGAGACGGCACTACTTCCGTCGTCATTCTCGCCGCAGAACTTTTGCGTCGCGGGAACGAGCTCGTTAGATCTAGAATTCATCCCACCAATATTGTCGCGGGGTATCGATGGGCGATGAGGGAGGGATGCAAGTATCTGAAGGACAACCTTGCCACGCCCGTCGATAAGCTTGGGAAGGAGTGTCTTGTAAACGCCGCCAAGACCAGCTTGTCAAGCAAGATTTTGGGCAGCGCGGAGAGCGAAATGTTTGCGAACATGGCTGTTGACGCAGTTCTGGCAGTCAAGACACCGACTACGGGAGGGAAGTACAAGTACCCCATTGACGCCATTCATGTCCTCAAGGCACAGGGAAAGAGCGCCCGGGAAAGCGAACTGCTCCCGGGCTATGCCCTGAACAAAGCTCGTTCGAGTCAACTTATGCCGCAACGCATTGCCCCAGCAAGGATTGCCTGTTTGGACATTGATTTGCGTCGTGCCAAGATGAAGATGGGCGTTTCTATCCTCATTGAGGATCCGGAGGAGCTGAACAAGGCGCAGGAGAAGGAGCTCGACATTACGCGCGACCGAATCAACGCCGTTCTGAAGGCGGGTGCGAACGTCATCCTCACGACGAAGGGAATTGATGACGCCGCTTTGAAGTACTTTGTGGAGGCTGGCGCGATCGCTGTCCGGAGAGTTTCAGAACGCGATATCAACCGAATTGCAAAAGCTACAGGCGCTACCGTAGAGGTGGCTATGGCGGATCTCAGCGGCGAAGAAACATTTGATCCTTCGCTTCTGGGTTCCGCAGAGGAGATTTATGAAGAGCGCATCCGCGACGATAACGTACTCATATTGAAGAAATGCAAATCCACTGCGGCTTGCTCAGTGCTCCTCAGAGGACCCAATGAATACATGTGCGATGAAATGTCTCGTTCTTTCCATGACGCAGTATGTGTCGTTAAGAGAACACTTGAGTCTAACTACGTCGTGGCAGGAGGTGGTGCTGTGGAGGCTGCATTGTCAATTCATCTGGAAAACTTTGCCAAAATGCTTGGCTCCCGTGAACAACTTGCGATCGCTCAATTTGCCGAGGCGCTGCTCGTGATTCCGAAGACATTGGCCATCAACGCCGCTAAGGACTCTACCGATCTCGTCGCAAAACTGAAGGCTGTTCATCATGCCGCTCAAAACGATGACTCAAAAGCAAATTTTTCAACTTTCGGCCTTGACCTTCAAGCCGGGACGTTACGTGATAATTTGGCAAAAGGAGTTATTGAACCTGCAATGAGCAAGAAGAAGATCATTCAATTTGCAACCGAGGCAGCCCTAACCATTATTCGCATTGATGACCTTATCACGATTCGTAAGAATGAGAACGACGGATCTAGTCCCTACTAATTTTTACCTCGGGTTTTCCGTAGATATTTGTAAACGACTGCCAAGGGCATAAAGGTGAATTGCTCTTGTCAAGCGTCCGCGGGATACTACCTAGATGAGAACGCCACGCTGAGAAGACGGCTTGCAAGTGTGCATCTCTCAACAGCAGCCAGATGAGTCTCACTTTATATGCAAAAAAAAAAAAACGGTTCTCACGCAATATATCCAGTGAAGATCATTTTGTCAAGTTATAAATCTACTCGATAGAGAGGAGTCATCGCTAAGCGAGCTCAAAAGTCAGTGACGCGTCCGTTCTTCGCCCAGTCGCCGTGGCGAGTCGGCTCGTATCCGCGCGGTCCGTTCCACTCAGGCCCTGACGGGGCGTCCTTGTTCCACATCTCTACTAATTCCGGCTCGTCTTCGTTGTCAGTCTCTTCCTTTTCATGTTCGAGCTTGCCCTTTACGGTCTCGCTCGCGTTATCCGCATCTTCTGTGCGGCGCTCTTCCCCCTCTGTTATGTTGCTGGTCATAAGGCGAGATGACGGCCACCTTCCGTTTTGTGCCATGCTCATTGTGCGGGACCTGGAGAGCGCTCTGCAGAACAAGACAATCGACGAATTCATGCTGCGGTACGCTTTTGCGAGGTGCTGCGGGCTGCAGCTATCCAAGTTGGCTCGGGGGACAAGAGCACGTTCGCTTGATGAATAATATTTTATTTTAAAAATTAAAAACCCTGTAGATTTTTTTCTCGGGCTTGTCCCAGCCTTTGCTTTCCATGTCAACGGATAGGCATTTCTATGAACCGACGTTTGTTGCTAGCTCTCTAGACTGGAGGGCTCCTCCCGTAGCTTTTTGAAGTCTACGGTACTCTGTATTCTGTTTGTAAGAATCTTCTCGCGCTTAGTTCTACTAAGCGAACTCGCGTCGTGCACATCAGCGTTTCTTTTCTGCGTCCATACCAGCTTTAAAAATGCAAAAGGTTCTCGACAGAACTCCTATCAAACTTGAATGGTACATGAAAAAAGCAGTGTTGCAGCATCTGCATGGTCTCATTAGACAGGAGTACGAATGAGATTGATATTAGCTGCATGCCGTTCTCATAGCCATCCATGTGCAAGGGTAGCTGAAGAGGACATCCATGTTCAGTCCTTCGTCTCTAACTGACTATGGCCCGCAGTTGTTTACATGGAAGCGTCGGATCTACTCTAAAACAAAAAGGCGAGGACAAAAGCAAGAATCTTGAGGGGCTCGTATAAAGGAATACTATTGTTGAGAGTTTGATGCGGTTCTAACTCGTATCTTATTTGTTCACAATGCAATTAGTTCACTCAAACTTGATTCTCCGCAGCATGAGTTTACGCAGATCGAACTTCAGATACTGATATGCTATAGACCCAAAAAGCTTCGACTACCACGAGTTTTTACACATACATCACGCATTAGTCTGTTGTAAAATTCCTTCGCAAGGCATAATATGAGGGGAACACGCTTTCAAAAGCTTTTCCCATGCAAGGAACGAATAGGACAGTTGACGATTTTATTGGAACGCTTTGCGCAAACGTGGAACCAAGACGTGGCATTAGTAGAATTCGATTCCCAGAATACGGATCCCACAATATAAATTACCGTCGCAGTATTTGTGAGCTCTTTATCAGAAAGAGAACCAAATCGGCGAGTTATTCATGGAACGATATGCTGTACACAGACGAAGCACCAAGACACAGCACCAGCAGCTTCCAATTTCCCGAGTGCGATACGTAGTTGCCGTCGCAATGTTTGGTAAGTTATTTTTACATGAAATCAGTCTCTAGTCGGTTGGCAGAAGCGGGCAGGCTGCAGGTTCGATCACACATTCACCGAAAACTATAACAAGGTGACGTAAGTTTCATTTCTTTATGCCTACAGTTTTACACAAGCTGAACATCAACCAGGACAAAGCCTAGGTACATTACACATGGTACGAGGTGTCGCCTGAGAGGAGGTCAAAATTCGAAGAGGGATGTCGGGGTCGCGCGCTGCTCACGGAAGTGCCGGCACCAAGCTGGGGACAATCTACCATCGTCCTCCCCTGCCACCTCCGCCGCGACGGAAGCCGCCTCCGCGGCCATATCTAGACTGGCCGCCTCCTGGCCTCGCATATCGCGCAAGTTCTTCTAGCTTGGGCGGGATCTCCTGCCCAGCATCGCGCATCAACTGGATCAGGTCGCGCGCGCTCTTGCTATTATTCGAAGTGAAGAGCGTGATAGAAGTTCCCTTCGCCCCAGCACGCCCCGTTCGCCCGATACGATGTACATAATCCTCTACGTTATTGGGAAAGTCAAAGTTGATTACGCACTGCACAGCCTTCACATCTATCGGAGATGAATGTGAATGGTTTGTAAGAAAGAGACACAGTCAAAAAGAAAGTTAGCAAACACAAAGAAACAGTGCTCGGGCAAGGGATATCCCCGCGCCGACGTTGTTTCCTGTAGATTGAATCATTCTGGTGCTGAGCCGAGCTCCATTGCTGTGGAGCTCGATATGCATGAGAAATGAATTCATCACTCGCCTCGCAAGTGCTTGGGAGCGAAGCGCATGAGTCTCCGTTTCTCTTTTGCTGCAACTGTGCAGCAAAAAGGAGAAGACACAAGCAAGCGTCCTTGTTCTCTTTCTCTCGGCCAATACCTCGGTCTCAAAGTGCCCACACCTCGAAGTGGAAGAACAACGACGTTTGTGACTTGTGCCAACAATCGCAGTGTCGGCACGGCGAGAACCAATTGATGGATATGTGTTGACCATAGATATGTTTGGTCTGGTCACACATATGAAATCATCGTGTAAGAGCACCGAAATATCGGGGCATCAAAAGGCGGTCAAAAGCATCACTCTGTAACCCCGTTAAGACGCTACCCGAAAAGAACAAGTTACGCTCGCCATTCGCCGCAACACGACCCGCGCACATGGGGAGGGCTGGAAAAAAACAACGCAACGCGAAGTAAGGAAGAAGACTGCAAAACGTACCTAACCCGCGGGCTGCGACATCTGTCGCAACCATGATCGGCGCTCGCCCAGCCTTGAAGTCAGCCAGGGCACGATCACGCTCGCTCTGATTCTTGTCTCCATGGACGGCGGCGGCTTGGAAGCCGTCATACCGCAGATCTCCGCAAATTTCATCGGCCTTGCGCTTGGTCTCCGTGAAGATCAAAACCTTGGGGAAGTCGCGTCCGCTCTCGGCGCGAATGCCGTCCAGACGTGTGAACAAAATTCGCCTCTTGTCATGATCGTCACAAACCTCGACGATCTGGGTAATGTCCTTGTTAGCGGTGAGCTCAGTGCTTCCAATCTGGACCTGGACCGGCTCCTCCTTCAAAAACTCTCTCGAGATGTTGACGACATCCTTTGGCCAAGTTGCGGTGAACATGAGAGTCTGCCTATCCGGACGAATCTGGCCAACAATAGCCCTGAGCTGGGGTTCGAATCCCATATCAAGCATGCGGTCAGCCTCATCCAAGACCAAGTAGGTGACCCTCCTCAAGTTTGTCTTACCAGACTCCAAAAAGTCAATGAGCCTTCCCGGGGTGGCGATAACAATTTCGACGCCTCTCTCCAAGTCCATGGCCTGGCCGCGCTTCGGCACACCTCCATAGACGCAGGTATTCTTAATCCTAGACGAAGAGCCAAACTTGGAGCACTCATCCTTGATCTGGACAGCCAGCTCCCTCGTCGGGGCGAGGACGAGGACAATAGGGCCGTCGCCCCTCTCCAGGTAAGGCTGGGCATTGATATGGACAATGGCGGGCAGAATGTAGGCGCAAGTCTTACCACTTCCCGTCTGGGCCACGCCGATGACGTCCCTGCCCGTGAGGGCGACAGGCCACGACTGGGCCTGGATTGGGGTGGGGGAAGCAAAGCCGCAGGCCTTGATCTGGTCGAGCACGTAGTCCGGGAACGAGGCTTCATCAAAGGTAGTGGTGGGGCGCGGGACGTTGGAGCCCTTGGTTGAGATCTCATGGCGCAGGCGGTAGGCCTCGACCTCCTGCGGCGGGCGGCTCTTGACGTCCGGATGCTCCATGTAGAAGTCCTTCTCGAACTTGGGCAGCGAGTTGTACGCGGCCTCGTTCCACTCGAGCTTCTTCAAGTTGGCGCCGAGCTCGCCACCGCCGCCGCCGCCTCCGTACCCACCACCACCGCCGCCGTAGCCGCCGCCGTAGCCGCCGCCGCCACTTCCACCGTAACCTCCACCGCCGCCGCCGTAACCTCCACTGCCGCCGCCACCGTAGCCGCCGTAGCCGGCGCTTCCACCGCCGCCGTAGCCAGCGCTTCCGCCGCCGCCGTAGCCGCCACTTCCACCGCCTCCGTAGCCGCCACCGCCGCCGGCCTGGTAGCCGCCGGCCGGGGGGCCGCCGTTAGCGTATCCGCCGCCGCCGCCGCCGCCGTAGCCCCCTCCGCCGCCATATCCGCCGCCTCCGTAAGAAGACATGTGAGAGCAGGAGCGCACAAACAGAAAACTCGCAAGCTAGTAGCGGGAAGGTGGTGCGTGTGGTTGGGAGCGGGTCGCAAGCGAGGAAAAGCAAGGGCAAAGGTGGGCGGGCGAGTAAGGGCGGGCGGAAACGGCGGGAAGCGGGTTTGCTTTTATAAGGGGGCGGAGTGTGGGGGGCGACAGGTGTGTCGGAAAGGGCGGGTCTGCGCGCCGTCGTCGGCCGTGCGGGGGACCGCCTTCCGGTAGGGGCGGCGGCCAATGGGATGCGCACACGGGGCGCGACACGGCGCGGCGCGGCGCTGGTGGCCACCCACGTAGCCACGTGGCGCAAGCGGCCGCGGCGGGCGCGGCTTTCCGCAAATTCCGCCGCGGCTTACATTCCGGCTGCGGCGGCTGTAAGGGGGCGGCGGCTGTAAGGGGGCGGCGGCTCGCGCGCGCACGCGGACGACGGTTCCAGAGGCGTCCCGAAGGTTCGGTTCGCAGGTGGGCACACGTGGGGCGACGTGCGGAAGCTGCCTCGAGCCCCGTTTCCGTGTGACACGTGTTGCCTCACGCCTTGAAGCCGTGTACACGTGGTCGGGCCAAGCTTCCGTGTGACACGTGTTTCTTCACGCCTTCAAGCCGCGTACACGTGGACACTGTAACGTTACCACTGTAAAGTTACCACTGTACGGGACTACAGTACAGTGTAGCGTACAGTACAGTGTAGCGTACAGCACGTGTACTGTATGCGCTCGGCCTCCACGCCCATGCGCCAGCCCATCCATCTCCCTCCGCCTCCGCTCTCCCGTGTCTCCCGGATTTTGCGATTTTGCAACAGTTGAAAAAAGCAGGCGGCGTCCCTGAAAACGTGTCAGCGCTCGCCGCAAAGAACGCGCCCCCTTCCGTTCCCGTTGCCATCCTTTCCCTTCGTCTTCTCCCCAACAAGCCTCCCTTTGCGCCTCAGCAATCTCCCTTCGCCCCCCCCCCCCTTCAGCACGCGTGCCGCGCCCCCCCACCCACCCGACACATGTCGTCGTCCACGGCCAAGAGCTGGCTAGCGGCGGCGGCGCAGCCCGTGCGCGCGGCGGCGCCGAAGGCGGGGCACCTGCTGCACCGGACGTACCACTTCAGCTACGTGCGGCGGACGTTCGAGAAGAAGGCGGAGAACTACGGGGCGCAGATCAAGCGGATCGCGGCCGTGGCGACGGTCGAGGAGTTCTGGGGCGTGTACACGCACCTGCAGCGCGTGAGCAAGCTCCCGCCCATGACCGACTACTACCTCTTCCAGGAGGGCGTGCAGCCGATGTGGGAGGACGACGCCAACAAGCGCGGCGGCCGCCTTCTCCTCCGCGTCCAGAAGCACGCCAGCCCACGCGCGTTCGAGGACCTCTGCCTCGCCGTCATCGGAGAGCAGTTCGACACGGATGACATCTGCGGCATCGCGTGCAGCGTCCGCTTCCAAGAGAATTACCTCAGCATCTGGGTCAGGGACGCGAAGAACAAGCCCGCCATCGCCGCCGTCGAGAACAAGGCGCGTGGCATCCTCAAGCTGCCCGCGGCCTGCGT